GGGTCCAAAGCACTGCTGAAACAACACCACCTGCTACTTTCAGCGTTTCAACGCCTAACAGATCGGTAAAGCAGAAAAACTAGAGTAGAAAAATAGTCGACGGCTTTGGATTTTGTGCTGGGAGCCCGCCAAATAGCACGTCATCGACTCTCATCAAATTCAAATAAAGCATCCAGGGCAGAGGACTGTTCCTGAACACAATTCCAGGACCAATGGATGGCAGCGGAGTAGGAAAAGATCAGAGCGAGGCGGTGCTTTACATAAACCACCTTGTATTCGTGGAGCTTTGTGACTGAACTGATGATAACGCAGTTCATATGGGGGTAAAGGCACAATTATCTGACCTTCGCTTCTAATTGGGAGCAGTAGATATTGGCATGTAATCATTCTAACGAATGATGATACAAGAAGGCATTTCTCCTCGCTGATTGGTGAGCGAACTTACCTATCAAAAACCTTATTTCGCAGATCTTTCGCAAATACCAGGAGAAAGTTGCAGCCATCGCAGTTGAATACCTCCAAGGCAGTCTGTTGGAGGAGATAGCGTCTACGGTGAACTTCGCGGATCTTATCGTAAGGCAGACGGAAATACCTACAAAAGGAATGAGTAAACCCTATATTAAGCATTCACCAACGCTGCTTCCCCAAAATCGAACCCATTTCTAGTACACACGTCTCAAAAGGGTATTGCTGATGAAAAAAAGATGAAAATTAGAAAAATGTAAGTGGAAGTCCGGGCGAAAAAAAACATAATGATCGGCCGGGGAACAAGTATTAAATTGAGATGGCTGAGACAAGACTTTTATTCGCCTGCCGTTTCGAAATCCGTCACGGATCCGTCGGCCGCCCTTTCGCACCATCTGGAGCTAGAGTCGTACACAGACCGGAGGCAAACATAAGGCGTCAGATAATGAAACCAAAAGACCCACTACCACGGCAAGAAACATCTGGAGTTGTTTATAGGGTCCGGTGCAGTTGTGGACAAAAAATTTACGTCGTAGCAACTGGAAGACTTTTCGGCAAGACTGATTACAGAGGCCGCAAAAATCCCGTCGACTTATAATAAAAAACTACTTTCAAATGTTCGTTAGCTTGAATTTAAATTTTTTCGTTAAATTCTACCAGTAGGAGAACGAATTTCCATTTTCGTTAAATTCCGCCTACATAAGCTCAAATTTCCCTCGATCAACATTTATATCCTACGCAATAGAAGTTTATTTTGATTGAATTTGATTCTATTTAGCATACTAAAACAAAGGCAACAGTAGCTTATGTAGCCCCACTCATTAATCCATACAATCTGCATGTT